GTTGGGGCTCCGGACGGGGGAGGACGGGAACTGAGGACACTTTCCGAGGCGAGAAAAAAGTTCGAGCCCTTTCAAAGCTTGGCCTGGGTTGGCCGGAAAGCTGCAGCGTCTCTGTCTCTCTCTCTCATAAATAAAAACCACTGAGTCGGTGGAGCGTTTATGTCCGCCAAGGCTGGCCCAAGGTAAGTGACCGAGTGAAGGAGCAGACGAACTGGGAGCTGAAACTTTTCTCAACATGTTGATGGGGCTTCATCCTCCACTGTGCTTGAAGGTGGGCAAACAGTGTCCCAAGGCAGGGTGCAGGGCCCTCTGCTTCCCTCCGAGACTTTGCTGCCTCTGCCGCTGCCTCCCAGTGTTAGCGGCCGGAGGTGAACTGCCTTCATGCCTAAAGAGGGCTGGCCGTGTTAACGAACTGCCTAAGACGAGCTCTTAGACAGGTTTGCGAAGAAGTTAGAACCCTGGAATTCAAGAAGCAGGTTTGTTAGGACTCCTGCTTTTAGTACTCGCAATACATTTTTGCTGCACTTCTAAGAAATGAAGTCTGGTTTCCCTTTCAAACGGGATTTCTGAGTCAAAGTGAGACAGGTGGAACCTTAAGCATAGTTTCTTAGAATTATTCCCACTGAGCTCATTGAGGTGGATTTGTGGGGAAGCATTTGTAGGATTTGGCTGTAAAATTGGGTTGCCTGATCCACTCTATGTTTTCCATTCAGATCTAAGTTCTGTTGAGTGTAGTAGTGCTGCTTCTCGAATATAGGAGCTTGTACATTTGGATTTTGACATAAGCTATTTTATTTCCAAATAAAGTATGTCTGCTGGATTTAATGGGATCACTAGCTTTCTAATTAACATGCCTTACGTTTGGAAGTACAAATGGACTATTGTCCATTGCATGTTTATGCCCTGAACCCATGCATATTTATTGGAATGAAATGATTGTACATACAGTTGTCATTTGTATTACAGGCTATGTGCTGGCTATTTGCTTTTTGTGTGTCTCTGGGGGTCCCTGCAAGATCATTCAGCCAACATGGAGTCACAACCTGTCAAAATATGGCCACGTGGTTTGTTTTTTCATAAAGCAAAGGGAAAAGCAAACATGGGATAGCTGGTGTGGGTCTTCCGGGCTGTGTGGCCGTGTTCTTGAAGTTTTGTTTCCTAACG